GAGGAGAGATATATATATATATATATATATATATATATATATATATATATATATATTTAGAATTATATATATATAACGGTATATATACTGTCTATATAGAACATTTACAATATATTTAAGATTCATTCATTTACATAGATGTAAAATTAAAGTAATATTGTGAATATTGCTGACTTTTTGTAATTATTTGTTCATTGTGTTTTTAATGTAGAGTGCAAGTCAGAGTGATTAAATGTATAAAAATTGAGATATACACAGTATTATCAAAAAGCTAAGAAAATAGAGACATTTTTATCTATAACACCCAGCCCTAGTATGAATTAAAGGGATAGTTCACCCAAAAGTGAAAATTCTGTCATTAATTACCCTCATGTCGTTCTAAAACCGTAAGACCTTCGTTCTTCTTCGGACATTTTTGATGAAATCCAAAAGCTTTCTGACCCTGCATAGACAGCAACACAACTAACACGTTCATGGCCCAGAAAGGTAGTAATGACATTGTTAAAATAGCCCATGTGACATCAGTCATTCAACCTTAATTGTAAAGCTACAAGAATACTTTTTGTACACAAAGAAAACAAAAATAATGACTTTATTCAACAATTTCTTCTCTTCCGTGTCAGTCTTCAACACGCATACACACGAGAGTGCCACGCATGAGAACAAAGGTCTTGCGGGTTTGGAACGACATGAGGGTGAGTATTTAATAACAGAATTTTCATTTTTGGTTGAACTATCCCTTTAATGGATTTTACAATTAATGTAAAGGGTGGTAAAACCAAACCTGATGGGAGAACAAACTCAAAAAATGGGTCTAAATGTTCATGTCTGCATGCAAAATAAAGTAAAAGAAATAAACATAATGTCAGGAATAACCGAGAGACATTTCTAATGCAACCAATGTGCAAACCCAAGGCCTGGATTTTCCACCCCTTCACCAGTTATGAGTCTATGAGACACATTTTAAAACAATCCCTCTCCATGGCTGTGAAAAGGAAAGGAGAATGAAATCATGCATCAGAAAGAGAGGGGTGAGTTTTTGTAGGTTTAAAGTTTTGGCTAGAAGCTGCCCCTCTCTACTGAACTACAACCAGCTTCCCATTTAAACATAAAAAAACTTTTTTTTTTCAGCGCTGAAAAAAATCTGCATGTGGCCTGGTTATTTCAGCAGTACGTGATTATGACGAAAGCTGATTTCAGTGCAGTGTCAAAGGTGAACTCTGGCAAGAGTGTGTTTGTGCATCCTCCCCATAGCCGAGCAGTCATCAAACAGTTAAAGATGTGGTAAATTACCAGCAATTCAATACACAGCAGAATGATGCCACTAATGTGGGTGGGGGAAAACATTAGCCGTAAAATGAATCTCAAATGACTCCACAGGAGTTGGCATCTGGTGATGGTTGGGCTAGTATGGCTGATGCTCCAGATAAATGTTCCAGGTCTGGAACCATATTTCCAAATATAATTTCTGAAATTACATTTTTAGTATTTCTCAGAATGAAGGACAGTTCACACAAAGATTAATATTCAGTGCAAAAATTTGATGCAATAAACATTTTAACATTTTCATGTAGAGATGATAATTTCGATCGCATGGCGAAGAAAACTGGCCAACCAATAACCTTTGTACTTTTGGTTACATGCCCAAAGCTGCTGCTGTTACACAAAACCAGGGCATTTCTGCTTTTCTAAAATTGGTCTGAACAGACACATTTTTCTGCTGAATACTTTGGTGTGAACAGTCTTGATAGTCCAGTGTAAAAGATCAATAGTACAGAGTTTAATCATTAATGGAGTCTAACTGATTTATTTCAGAATCAGCAGTCATTCAGGACAGACATGTACATCAAAAATGTCAGTAACAATGGAATGTTGTAGCATTTACAGTCAACATGGGGAGCCATGCTTTAACAAGCATTCAAATGAAAACTGCGTGCACTGGTGACAACAATTTCCCCCAAACTAAAACAAAAAGAACCATTCACATGTTGCGCTCATGGGAAACCACAGCAATCGTGCAATCATGCAACACAGTAAAAACGAAAGTAGGGCAAGACTGAAAATGTGTTCTAGGATAAAAAAAAACACTTTCTCTTCTTGAAGCTTTCCAAGTTAAGAAAACAAAGTTATCTTGAACTCAGAAAAAAAAAACACAACCCAAACCCACAGTGCTAGTATTATCTGTATCTGTATCTTTGTTTGTTGGTGAACATGTCTGAGGATTGATTCATAATAGAAAACAGACTCAAGGAGGAGGATATTGCAGAGGACTGGGTGGGCCAACAGGTAAGTGGGTCCATTAGTTCAACAGCTGCAAGGCCTCAATTTACAAAACACATGAGACAGACTTCCCACAGTTGCTCTAAAACTGAGGGGGTATAACTAGGGACGTAATGATAAATTGATATGGATTGATGCAATCAATCAAATGAGAGACTAACAATATGATACAACACATAATAAATCAATATGGGGATAACTAGATGTGCACATTTTAGAGAGCACTGACTGAAAGACTGAAAAACTTTCTTGACTGTTATCAGTGCATATCTCATTGGACAAGCCAATGATCAGATGACAGATGTGCAACTTGATTTTTTCCCTCCATTATTTTAATATTCAGTATTTTTTTTTATGTGGATGCCCCAATTGAACTACAGAATTTGCCATTTTCATAAAGTTCACTGTTTTAAATCATAATGTGGTATGTTTTGAGGT